ACACCATATATATTCTTATATAGATGTCGCGCGACCAAGGCAAGGCCCCCAAAAAAATACACAAAACAAAAAGTTTAAAATTGCAATTACATTATTTTTATTTCATACATGTCCGCGTGGTGGCGCCTATACCTCCGTATGCCATCGAGTCAGAGCGATGGCTCGCGCATTTTCTCGGTGTGTTGGTTCGATTGTTTTTGTAGCTCTATTGTCAAAATTACGCGACAATAAACGAATTTATTAGTTTGTAGGTAAAGGTCCGTAGGACGACTACTATATAGATATAAATGGGCTGAACTTGCTGCCTTATTTTCGTATTTTCCAGGTTTTGTATCATATCTTCTACAATAAATCGCCGGATCTATCTGTCTAAGGTCGTTCGACTCAACCTGAGTCAGCCAGTGTTTTCCCATGACCAGCTCTATGTGGGGTGCTCCAGGGTCGGTAACCCAGACAACCTCTACATCTTCTCTGAAGATGGCAACACCAACAATGTTGTGTACCAAGAAGCGCTGCAGAACTGAACACAAGTGAAATTTTTGGGACAGATTTATAAAATTAGAATAAGGTCAGTACAGCCGTCATGGCAGACTAAACTCTAGCTCTTTTCTCCTTTATCCCGGGCATCGCCGGGTAGACCAGCTAGTTGATCATAAGAACGGAATTACAATTAACTGCATGCATGGAGCAAATCTAATTATGTGTGAAACATGGACTATAGTTAAATTGTATATACATGGTTTGCTTTAACAACTTCTCACCTTGATCTTTTCCATGCGGCCGCACTGCTCTCCGTACCAGATATAGATGGTCTCTCCCATGTCCAGGATGAACACATCTCCATGGTTGAGAGATGCGCAGCCCAAGTCAACCTATCAAACACATCGCTGAATTATCAATACATCACCAAAACTCTATCACTACATCACCAAAACTCTATCACTACATCACCAATACACTATCACTACATCACCAAAACTATATCAGTACATCACCAAAACTGTATCAGTATAGTACTGTAGAGTAGTAATGATATATCCTATTTAATGATTTATATATACACACGCGCGCCGCGCACGCACACATGCATGCACGCACACACGCATGCACGCACGCAAGCACACACGCACACACAAATATATATGATACTATCTGTGGATTTCTACATGTTGGAAGTTAATTGTAATCATTGTCTTGATATAGATTCGCACAAGAGTGTGAAATGATATCAAGCATGATTACATAATGTCTAATTTATTTTAGAAAGTTCATAATTATTATAAGAAAAAGACATTTTTCATAATGGCAATAGAGCACCTATGTATAAAGCATGTCTGGTCAACAGTGTATGTGGCCAGGCCAATTATTAAATATTTGCCCTGTGGATGTTTTCCCAGCTGCCCTGCATTCAGCATGTAAACATACAGAGGCTAAAAGATTCTAGGGTTTCAGCAGCTGGTCTGAATCATCTACACGTGCCTATCCCTTGATACCACGTACTGTTTCCAGCACAAACACACGAACATGAGTTACATTGATCTATGTGGAAACAGTATAAACTTATTTCCACATTAAACTTAATTAATTTGATTATTAAATTTTTTCACACCAACCACTTATTTCCACATTAAACTTAATTAATTTGATTATTAAATTTTTTAGCAACTTGAGCTAAGATGATGAGCCAAGATGAATAATTTGACTTTGACCAAAGCTGGACCAATCAGGTGCTGGAGCAGGTTTGATTTCTTATCTAAAACCTATATCACACACAAACCACGTGATACCACCACCATAACAAAAAGTGCCTTAAATCAATTGTGACACCACAGTCAATTTCCACCAACACTCAACAACTTGCACACAACTTGCAACAACACGCAACAAACAACTTGGCATCTAATATTTGCATTTTTAACCCTGCATGCATCGTCAGGGAAAACTCGGAATTTAAATTAAAAACTTAACTGAAATTTACGTCACAACTGCAGTGAGTGTTTGCACATGTACACAGAAGGGAAAATCACCTAGGGCTGCCATTACCTGTTGCACAACTTTGACAACAATTGACACTTAATTGACACGAATTGATAACTTAACTAAAATTTACGTCACAAGTGCAGCGAGTGTTTGCGCATGTAAAAGGAAGAGCAGCTGCTTAGCGTGTACATAGAAAGGAAGAGGACCTATAGGGCTGCCCTTACCTGTTGCACACGGATGTTCCTCTTTCCCTTACACTGCATCAGTCGTGGTTCGTACACCTCTGGTGTCACGTGCTTAAATCCTGAAGCCACGCCTCCCTTCAGATACCTGCACATAATATAATAATGTACGTTATACTATTATAGCCAGAGTCACGACTATCATGCTAGTTCAAACAACACCGAGTTACTTTAGTTAGCGTAAGTGAGGTTACCCTATATGGGTATCTGGTGGAGCATATATTTGTTTATTTGTTTTATAAAAGATGATGCATTTAACATCGATAATTTATTTGACTGAAGTTTGAAACAAAAGAGTCACGTATACACGTATAGCCACAAGTATGGTGTCGAAAATGCGTGATATATATGATTTCTGTGGAATACTTACTTGACACCCTTCTTGAAGTAGGACATAAACCTCTTCGATTCATGGAATTGCACCTCGCGGTACTGCACCGGTGCGCCACCTAGTGAGTCGTCCAGTTCAACGGTCTTATAGGCTGCCACACCTTGTTCATCCTAATTTACATATTTTCATTAATGAAGATGAGTAAGAAATTTCAAGGTTAATTCATGACAGTTGAGTTATATCAACAATTTAAGTTATAGTTAATCATTTGAGTAATATCAACAACTCATATACATATCTAAATTATGGGGCACATTGGAGTTTCGATCAGTCTTTCTGCATTATCACATTGTAAATAAAATAATAATTAAATAAACTAAACTATATTAACTAAAACAAAATACTAACTAGACCAATATAATATGTACTTAATCACCTGAGATGTTTCTGAACCCAGCCAGAAATGAATATCCCATTCAAGATGAGTTTCAACCAATCGTGTCTGAAATAACAAACAAATTTAAGAACATGCACGTATACATTTATATGGTATCACGCACATATTCACATCAAACAAGAATATTCCAAAACTATAACTGTTTGCCCAAATTCAAACAGGCACTCTCCATGATACGTGAATGGGGAATTCAATGTGCATTGTCAACAACTACATTAGATGACTGATTAAAACTCGCTCTAATTTAATTTCCTATTTTTAGAGAAGTCTCGATAGAAGCTCACCTTGAGAATAATGTAGGAGTCTCCTTGATAAAACTGTCCAGTAAATTCTGTTGGCACGGGAACTACTTGCATTTGCTGCAAATGAAAGTTAAATACCCGATAACTAACCATAATCACCAGTGCTAGTTGTCAGAAGACATTCAATTCCATAGTTCAGAAAATCTGCACCTTTCAAACTGTATAACAGGTTTGTTGCATGCAAGGCAAACAATCCATCAAGGGCCCTATGTAAGACATCACTGATCAGGTATTTCTCATTTGATAGATGTTGTTAATATTTACCCCAAAACGCCGCACGATAGGAGAATTGACCAATTTTTTGTCTCCAATTCCTCCCATCGTATTCTCCTCATATAGCATGACCACTGACTAATACCTCACTTGCTACACTAACTCATATTTGACTAATCATTAATTAAATTCAGTCCGTTTACTTGCCCTGTTCATACTATTGCAATGGACATCAACACATTACTCAGTCTGGTAATTACACATAGTGAGGTATATATGAACACATGGTAGCTTGGCAGGGGGCCATGCAGGCTGTGTGGTGAGTCAATGTATAGCAATTCTCTACTCATGAATAACAAGCACAAGAGTTGCTTTCATAAGAATTTATCAATGATATGATCCCAAGCCGGGGTGGCTCATTATGTTCTGCATTTACAACACAAATATGCTCGGGTTACAAACTAAATAATGACGAGAACATACGTCTAGACAAACTGTAACCAATTATGCATATAGGCAGACTTAATTTGTAAAACCATATTTTACTACTTGATATGATGGAGGGTAACTGAAAAATTCAAGGGTGTGTTGGTACTGAGCATGTTGCATATGTCTGGAGCAGCTGGTTGCTGCATGGGATGAGGGGGGGGGGGGGGTTCAGACACACTGGTACATGTGCAGTCTAAGTAAAAGTAGGGCAGGGATGGAAAGATGATATCCTTCAGAGTCCAGACCTCCACCTACTGCGCTGCTCCCCATCCCTGTACTAGTAGTATACAGCTGTGGCATTGGCAAGCAATAGGGGTGTGGGGGAACTTGCCCGAACTTGCATAGCACCAGAGGTGTGACCGAACACATACTTTAGTGAATTTATTAGAGAATGCTGGTGAATGACTCATGGCGGTAACGCCTTGATCGTAGCATGTGGAGCCGGCTTTGTCAGAACTGGTTGGAAGTAGATTTGTATATAGGTGTAGCTGCCCTTTATAACACCTAGAATAATGTCGATTTTTTGAAAAAGTAAATAATTTACTGTCACTGTACATGTATATGTTACGCCCCACCACAACATCTAGCTACATGACTCTATATAGTCCATAACAGTGTAGTCCAAATCCACTATACAACAGCTAGGTCGATCTGCACAGTGAAGTATATTGCACTAAGTACTATAATAGAGCTACACGACCCCATACTACTTACTAGACAACCCAGAGTAATACCAGGAGTGAATATAAGAACAAATATTGTCTTCATTCACTAGCTCCTGCTAATACAAGTGTGGAGATTTCGGGGGTGTGTAACTCACATGGGCAGTAGCCTAGATCAGGATGGATAGATTGAACTCAGAGTATAGAGGGAATAGCCATATATAGACTAAGGACAGGATAAACTATATAACGCCTGTCGTACCGTAGTTGCATGGCTACCCCTAGGGCCACTACACAAGTATATGACACAATGCACTGCAGTAT